CAAAATCATTCAAGCCTATGTCTCAAGTTTAAATAATCAATAAAGTAATTTAAAAAAATATATAATTATATATTTTTTTAGGTGCTGGACTCATTTATGAAAAAATTAAAATAGATTATCTTAATAAAATTTTGAGTAATTTTAATTTTAAAAAATATTCAAAATTGTTTAAAATTGTTCTATATACAACACTGCTCTAAAGCATTATCTAGAAAAAAAAATCTAACATATTTACAAATAAGCAAAACAAAAAAGCAGAATAAATTATATAACTCTAAAAATAGAAAGTAAAAGTTTAAAAGATATTTTCAATTAGTACTTAAAAAAGAAAAGGAATATTAGTTAATATTTATTCAAAAAATTTAAGAATCAATATGTAAAAAGAAATCATACTTTCTAAATTTTTAAAAATAACAAAGAAAAACAAAAAATCATAAGCTCAATAGCACTCTTAAGCAAAACCCAGAAGAATAAAAATAGTTAGTTAAATATGTCAAATTCAAAATAAAAGATATAACTCAAAACAAAAATCTACTAAAAAATAATTAATCCACAATTATTTAATGCTGTTGTACTACTTTGAGCAATTTATTTAAATCTACAAGTAATTTTTCAGGTTATCTATTTTTGATAAATTAATTTACTATTATTTAATACTATTATATCTATTGTACTATATTATTCAATTCTAATAATTTATTTAACTCTACAAGTAGTGTTCTAAGCCGATTAAATTTTTACGGCTAGGCTAAGCCGTTAAATTTTTAATGGCTTAGCAGCTTAGCTAATAGATATATGATTATCTAGGTGTCACGAGGCCCTGCATATAAAGTATATAGCGGCAGATCAATTAACTCACCAAGTTTTTAAATATAGTATATTTATGATTTTATTACGCTGCTTTTTTTCTACTAATAAAACTCAATTGTGTAATCATTCTAATTACAGTATTCTAGTATTTGGGAATTCTTTTGTGAAAATTTTATAACAAATATTAATATAAGTAATGCTAAATAATTTTTTATTATATTTACTACTTCTCATTAATGTTTTATTAAAATTAAATTTCTAATTCTGGATAGCAATTAAAAAGTGTTGAATTTTCTTTTAAAAATAGCAATTCACGTACCTGATTTGGATCAAGTCGATTATGTTTATCAGTTAATAAATTGCCAGCATCTGAAAACAGACGCTCAGAAGGAACTGAAGTAGCAGGTATGGCCAAATATATTCTTGCTTGAGATGCAAGAAGTGGTAATGATTTTGAATATTTGTGCCAAAATAATAGTAGGTTATCTTTTTCATATTCAGGTCATACTTGGAAACCAAAGGCAAACCATCGTACAACTGTAATTCAGTATCAAGAGATGATTGTATAGCAGTATCACTATCATCAAAAAACTTACTCATTATATGTTCTTGTGTGTTTTTAATATAAGAACTAGTGTTGGTGCAACTGTAAGAATCAGATGATTTAATAATTTGTATACAAAGTAAGTTAATTGTCTCCATTTTTTCTTCAGAGTTTAAAAAATGTAAATTTTTAAATCGAGAATCTAGGTAAGATACAATTAATCCTGCTTCTTTTGGCTCATCCCAATGATTTGACATTGACTGTTTAATCTCTTTACAAACTTCTTGAACTTCGAATGTAGCAAGCTTAACAGTATTAAGATATTTGAAAAGCTTTTGAATCATTGGATACATCATACCTAAAGTAGGATAATGGCTGCCTCCCATAAATGTAATTGATTGTGCAAATGGTTGGAGAAGTATAATCAATTCTTCTAAACATTGCCACTCATAATTTTCTAAAAGAAGATCATACAATGAATCACTATCATTTCTTACTTGTTGACTTATATCTTTTTGTAGTTGTTGAGTCAATTGGTAAGCAGGATATTGAAAAAGTAAAAGTCATTTAAGAAACAGGTATGTAGAATTCCATCTTGTAGCAGTATCGCTATTAATTGGTTGAAGCTCTTTTAATTCTGGATGTTGTTTTACAAAATAACTCATCAAATCACCACAGTATTTGTCATGATTACATAAAAAACTATTAAGACGTTTTGCTTTTACAATTAATTCATCTATATTTTTTAATTTATCATTGACAAATATATGCAATGTATAAGCCATACAACCAATATGAAAAATACAAAGCTGCCTACAAGCTTTTACCATTGAGGGAGCATTATCGGTTGATCCTCCAAATAGTTTACTTAAAATATCTCATTCTGTAAACAAATCACGAAGAAAGTCTTCAATTACATCACCAGTATGAGGGTACAGAAATTGTTGAATTGTTAAAAGTGCTTGATATAGAATAAAATTATTTGAAAGCCAATGCATTGTTACTCAATATAGGGCATATGGAATTGTGTCCACAAATCGGTAGTAAAATTAAATAAAGTAAGGGTTTCTTTAATCAAATTTTTTAAATTTGATTCACTATATATAACTGATGATGAAATTTTTTGCTTTACTTGATCAATACATGGAAATTGAAATCAAGATTCACATTTATATATTAAATTATGAAATTTCTCATTACTAAGAATGTTAAATGCTTGTAAATCGTCAATAAGCCAGGAAATAAGCCAATATATGATTCAGGATTGTTTTTTTTCTGAAAGAGGTATAACCTTATTTAAGGGTTGTTCAATTGTTGGCTAGTTTGTTAGAATTGGTGCAGAAGCTAGAGTTTTTGAATTATTAGATTTATGGATTTGGTGGACAACACGCAAATGCGAAGCAAGATTACTTGTACTAGTTTGAAGCTCAAAGGGATGTCCGCATTTAACCTTTCCTTCTTTTGTATTAATTAATACATTATATTTTCTCTTTTTTTCAAGTCTAAAGGTATCGAAGTATCGCTTTGTCCAGGAAGGTAATCTTTTTCTACTAGGTTTATTTAAGAATTGACTATTTTTAGTTGTAGTAGCTGATGCTAAAGCTGATAA